CGTGAAGAAATTTTTCCTAATATCCAATCTAAACCTCCCCTGAAGAAGTTGTAATGCTGACAGCCCCCTTCAGAAACGTTAAATGATTTTCTGACTTTCTGTTCCAAATGACTAGCCATCCACTTTGAATACAGCCACAATACTGCATTCAACTGAGACACATCTTCCACCCCAAATATTTAGTGTGATATGCCGGGAAGGGAAGATTTCTCTTGAATTATTTATTCTTCCTGGCAGCCCATGGCCGACAAGAACCCCCAAGCATAATTAGCCAAGCAGATAGCTATTCGTTCCCCTCCCCTGCCTGATGAGAGAAGAGCCACCACCAGAAAAGCAGGGAGCAACAGCAGTCTCTGCACTATTTTAGGAATAACAGGGCAGAATGAATTGGCAAAAGGAACTTGGCTGTAGATGCAAAACAACATAGCTTATTCTCGGGGAAAAAAGGCCCTCATTGCATTTAACATTTTCCTCTTGTCCTTTCAGAATGTCACTTTGAAAGCCCATCAAAGTGGCCATTCTTAGGTGCACGACATCTTTGCACACATTAGAAGGGGGCTGGTTTTTTATGAAAAAAGCACTACAAGAGATTAAAAAAACGCTTTTGATCGAGGGCTATAACAAAAATCAGTTATACCTTTTCTTGTGAAACGGCGAGCTGTGTTTTCAGTGTCTGACTCTGCTGTTCCCAGGACTTCTGTTCCTGCTTCAAGCTGCCAATTGCATTCTCTAAGCAGCTTACTTTAGCTACCTGAAATAAGATTACATTGGTAAGCCCGACTCGTTCAGGATTTTCTTTAACTCAATTTGACTTTGAGAGTTAAGCTACAGGGAGTTACAGCTACGCAAAGAAAATGCAGGAGAGCAAAAAAAACCCACCACCCCCAGCTCCCAGCCCGAATCTCCACACAACGGGATTATTATTTATAGCGTGCATATTAGTTACGCCGCTCAAGTTCAGAGTTACAATACATTAGAGTTGCAATAAAACTGCAAGAACACTGTCTTCCTTGTCCTGCTGCAATATTTATATCCAGGCCTCTGTTCCTTGCAATGTTTGGAATTTTCTGCATAATCAAGTTACAGTAAAAGCTGTGCTCCAGAATTTAAGCTTTCTCTTTTAAGACCAGCTAGGAAAAAAGGCAGTGGCAATTAAGCCTTTATCTGGCTTGAAGGTAAGGAAAAAAAAAAAAAAATCCAGAGTAGTTCTACAGGTTAGGGCGATACAGATAATGATATACGAATTTTAACAGCCCGTTAGAGCACGTAGGTTGTGATGTGGATTTGCAGTTCTGTCTTACCTTATCAATACATCTGTTTAATTCCTCACTCAGGGCTTCTTTGTCTTTCTGCAGCTTTTCATTTTTAGTAATTAAGCTCGAAACTTCATTTTGAAGGTCAGAGAGATCAGGACATCTGGGCAGCTGTGGAAAACAAACCCCTCACAGTTGCGTTTCTGTGCCGTTTCTAAACTTTGCATGCAAGTGTTACACAAAACTTTCTCTTCTCCTCCGGGCCAAGCATCCCACTCCGGATAGAGTGGAAGAGAGGGGACCATACTGCAGTTTGGTACGAATGACCACGCGAGTATCGTTCATATGATCCAGGGCATCCGTCCTGCAACAGCAGTGCTAAGGATTCTTATCTGCCCTGTGATCCCTTGGATTTGCTCTAGGGCTGGTCCTTTCTCTGCCTGTTCTGTGAAAGGGGGACAAAAAAACCACCGTACTGCTGACTTCCGATCCTTTTCCCATTTGACACAGTGCTTTAGCTTAATGCTCTGCCTTCTCCTGTGCTGTTCTGTCTTTGCTCACTCAATCTTCTATCTTTAATTACACTCAAGCCACTCGTTACTGAACAGGCCTCATCTGCTTTTGCTTTTTAAGACCATTATCAATCCTAAGCATTGAGCGCAGCAAATGAGTGCTTTACGCTGTAAAGAAAATTACTTTGTGGAGCCCGAATCCGGAGAGCTAACTCATTTGTAGCCTTCATTATCTATGTTTATTAGCATATATTTACAGCCAATTGAACCATGCTTATAGAGGCGATAACCAACCCCTCCAGGAAATTATCCTCAGAAGTTGTGAGACGTCGAAGTCTCCAGATAGGTTTAGCAAGAGGAATTCTCTCCGAGAGGACATGCTGCAAGAGACCAGTCCTTAAACAGAGCTATGTGGGTATCACCAGTTACACAGGAAAACGTTCCCCTGCCTATCCCATTTGCACAAAAAAAAAAAAAAAAGCCCCATCTATTCCTTGATTAGAGCTTTAAATCTTTGTCTCCATTGTCAAAGCCTGTCTTTGTGGAACACTACTCTGGAAGACCTTTTGGCAAAGGCTAAGTGAAACCAACCTTATCTGAACAATCGTGCATTGTACCTGGAGACTTTTTCAACAGGATTTATATTCCCCTACTGTTATGACCTTTCTTTAAGGAAATCAGCTATTTCCAACTCTGGCAAGAGAGCAGGGCACATGAGGAGACAGCCAGCATTATCTAATGGCTCTCAATAGGATGCCATACCTGTTTTGTCTTCTCGAGTTCCTGCTTGAGGATGTGGTTCTCCTGCTCCAATATATGAGCTTGAACCTTCATTTTTGACAGCTCCACCTCCAAGGAAGACACCATATTGGATGACTGCAAAAAGTAAAAGGCTCAGATTTCAACTTCGGAGATGCGCAGAGTAATAAATGTTAACCAGAGGATGCTGCAGCCAGTGACATGGGTTAGAGCTGGGATGGCACTGGGAAAGGACCTGGGGGTGTTGGTCGACAGCCGGCTGCACATGAGCCAGCAGTGTGCCCAGGTGGCCAAGAAGGCCAACAGCATCCTGGCTTGTGTCAGGAATAGTGTGGCCAGCAGGAGCAGGGCAGGGATCATCCCCCTGTACTGGGCACTGGGAAGGCCGCACCTGGAATGCTGTGTCCAGTTTTGGGCCCCTCAGCACAAGAAGGACATTGGGGTGCTGGGGCGTGTCCAGAGAAGGGCAGCGGAGCTGGGGCAGGGTCTGGAGCACAGGGCTGGTGGGGAGCGGCTGAGGGAGCTGGGGGTGTTCAGCCTGGAGAAGAGGTGGCGGAGGGGAGGCCTCATCGCTCGGCAGCTCCTGGCAGGAGGGGGCAGGGAGGGGGGGTCGGGCTCTTCTCCCACGTAGTTAGCGATAGGATGAGAGGAAATGGGCTCAAGCTGCGCCAGGGGAGGCTTAGGTTGGAAATTAGGAAAAATTTCTTTACGGAGAGGGTGGTCAAGCACTGGAACAGGCTGCCCAGAGAGGTGGGGGAGTCCCCATCCCTGGAGGTGTTCAAAAAACAGGCAGAGGTGGCACTTGGGGACATGGTTTAGCCTGGTCTACCCTTGATTGGTTTAGTGTGGACTTGGCAGTGTTAGGTTAATGGTTGGACTGGATGATCTTAAAGGTCTTTTCCAACCTAAACGATTCTATGATTCTATGAACAGAACGGGCTTGCTGGAAAATGCAGGTAAATATTTATTTAGCATCGCTAAGCTCCGTTTTCAAGACAAACCCGTACACTTCTACCTCCCTGCTGTTGGCTGCTGCCATGCTTTCCTTCCGCCCCTATTGCTGCGTGCATGTACGTTTGCAGCTAGTACGTAGAGAAGTTCAGCTTTGAAAGACCACGCACAGCTCAAAGGGATGCTAATTCCACAGTGCCTGTGCATTCCTAAAAGTTCAAATTGTTTCAAAAGTTCAATGTCTCTCATTAGAGACAGCGTAATCCCATACCTTTACTTTGGAGTTTTCCAGTTCCTCTTTCAGTACCAGTCTCTCCTTTTCCCATTCTTCCAGGGTGCATTTTCCCACTTCCCTTTCCTTTTGCTTGAGCGCCCTTGCCAGCTGTTGATTAAGATCCTGCACATCTGCTTGATTTTTGGAGTTCCTCTGGCTAAGTTCTGTATTTTCAGAGTCCAGCTGCTGGTTCCTGGTCTTCAGATCCGCTACCTGAATCGGGACAGCAGCGTCAGTTATGACTGCTTTTACACCGGGGGTGAGATTTTTAAAACATTCCCTTTCTATTAAGGTAATTAAAAAAACCTGACAAATGTCACTCCAATTCAACGGTGACGCTGAGCGGCGGGGCATAGCTGTTAACCATACTCTGTGTAACAGTCATGACCCCAGCAGCTTTGCTTTATTTCCCTATAGCTGTTTATCTGGACTTGGCCTAAAATTAGGGCATGGAGCAAGCAGAACCATATTTAGGAGTAGGAATCCTCAAGCTTTTTAGCAAGGCCTGTTGCGACAGGACAAGGAGTGATGGATTTAAACTAAAGAAGAATAGATTTAGACTAGACATAAGAAAGAATTTTTTTACAGTGAGGGTGGTGAGGCACTGGCACAGGTTGCCCAGAGAGGTGGTCGATGCCCCATCCCTGGAAACATTCCCGGCCAGGTTGGACGGGGCTCTGAGCACCCTGGTCTGGTTGGAGATGTCCCTGCTCACTGCAGGGGGTGGGACAAGATGGCCTTTAAAGGTCCCTTCCCACCCAAACCACTCCACGATTCTATGATTCGATTCTATGATTCCCTTTGCCATGCTGATGTATATTTTGAGGGTTATGCTGGTGAGCTAGTAGATTCTTCTGAGCAAGTAGACTTTTACTAACCAATACTAAGAGGGATGTGAATGTAAGAGCTACTTAAACCTTCTCCTTTGCCTAGCATAACAAACCGCCCTTAAAATAAAAGTAGCCGTCTCATGGATACGAGTAAAGGGTCACAGCTGGCAGCATTCCTAGACCCAGCTAGCTGGGAAATAAGTAGAGGCTGAGTCACATAACCTCTGTTTCCCATGAGCTACTGCAGAGCACTGCCCACAAAGACTACAAAAGAAAGGCTTTAACTTTATATTTCTATTAAATAAAGCTTCCAAGTTGACTACGGAAAGTGCTCTCAAGTCTGTAAGCCAGATAGTTACAGGAGCATTGCAGTTGTCTTCTGAGCACGTCAAACAAGCCTCACATCAATCCCAAAGAGTTAATGAGAACAGTTATCAAAAAGTTTAATATTAATTATATATATAATGGTCATTTTCTCCTGCCTTTGTGACCATCTAAGGAACAGCTTTTATACAGTGATGATTTCTACAGAGAAGGTTATGGGCTCAGGCTGTATACCTGCTTTTTCAGGTTGTCAACCATCTTCTGTACAGCCAACAGCCAATTTCTCCTTTCTCACAGCCTCTATCTTTTGCCTAAGGAAAAAAAAAAATGAAAGCTCATTAACATTAGGGTCACTTGTTAATATACACGCCTACAAGAATGGGCTGGGTTTTGATGTCACCAGAAATGGTAATTCTGGATATTTATTTATTGCTTAGCATTGCTGTTTTGCATAGGCTTGGCAAGTGCTCAGTTCCTCAAAGTACCTGTCCTGGTTTCGGCTGGGATAGAGTTAATTTTCTTCCCAGTAGCAGGCACAGTGCTGTGGTTTGGATTTAGTAGGAGAAGAATGCTTTTTCAGTTTGTGCTAAGTACTGCTGATGCTAGTCAAGGACTTTTCAGCTTCCCATGTTCTGCCAGGGGCACAAGAAGCGGGGAGGGGGCACAGCCAGAACAGTTGATCCCAACTGCCCCAAGGGCCATTCCATACCATACAGCGTCATGGGCAGTATAGAAACTGGGGGGGTTGGCCGGGGAGCAGCGATCGCTGCTCGGGAACTGGCTGGGTATTTGTCGGCGGGCGGTGAGCAACTGCATTGGGCATCACTTGCTTTGTATGTTATTAT